AAATTAATTGATGCAGAAAATGCCTCTTAAATTGTTTTTAAATTTTTTTACATTTTTTAGTTTGGTATTTTTCAAAAACAAAATGTGATTGTAAAAAAAATTTATTTTTTCTGTATAATACTTCTGATGAAACCAAATTTTTGCAAATTATTTTTCCCATTTAATGCAACAGTGCAAATATTAAAAAAATCTACTTTATTTGACCACAATAATAGGTCAATACTTAGGTTATGTTAATCTGGCTGATTGTAATGCACGCATAGATCAATAAGACCCTAACAATGCCAGATAAAATTAAACTTCTACGTGTATTGTGTAGTAGGCAGTTTTCCGAATTTAAAGAGTGAAACTCTATTTTTGAGACAGTGGTGCAAAGCATTTTTCAAAGTGTGTTTTAGACCAGATCTTAACGGGCTTGGAACCCAGATCCTGTTTAAAATTACTTTAATAGTTTATTTCGAGCAATGCTTATCGATATTTAAAATTATTTTTAATATTCATCGAATGGAGTTCCGTAAATAAAATCCATTTTTTGTCAATTTTAGTAGAAGAATATCAAAAATCGTAAGAAATGAAATCAAAAATTGACTTAAAATCAAGATTTGTTAAGAATTGATTTACTCTGAAGCCTTCGGCCAATTGTGCATTATTTTATAGGAAAATCAACAGCCTCGATATTCCAGTCGAACTCACCGAGTTCTGACCCATAGTTCTTGTAGCAGTTCTGGTTAATATTCTGTATGCACGCTTTGATCGTCTGGGAAGATGCTCAGCTGTTTTGATTTTTCTCAATTTAAGCGTAATTTTCTCTATGTGGTGTCCACATCGCACTCTGTTTTATTTTCGGTCTCTGTTGGAAACTCTATTTTCATCGCAAGTTTAATTGGGTGACTATCAATAAATGGGCCTTTGTAATACTTCTCGTAAATTATCCAATCTTTTTGATCCGTCGGAGTTTGATGCACAAAGTGCTTACGGACCTAGGCTTTTCATTTGTTTGGGTTAAAACATTGTATAAAAATCAAAAATCTTTGCAAAATACTGTAGTAACGTTCAAACTCCATATATGCACAAATAAGATCAAATGCTATTCAACAAAGAACTCAAAACATTTAAATAAAGAAAGTTACCTGTAATAATCAAAGTGTGAAAGGCCCGCAGCATATTTTAGTCATCGAAAAAATTACAAATGTAATTGTACAGTTTTAAAACTGCATATTTTTTTTTTAATATTATGTAGTTTTAGTAGAAGATGATCTCACTTTGGACATGAATCCAATTTTTCGAGCACGTCCATTTGAAAGCGGATTTCGGTAAAGTTATCTATTCTGAACGACCTTTTTCACTACGTTGTATATCAATATAGCTTAGTGTTTCCGATATCGAACATTTGTGGCATCCCTGTCATGGTTTTATATCTACTGTATAACGTGAATACAGGATGGGATTAAGTACACTACTTTGTGGTTCTGTAACATTAATTCTTTTCATTACTGACACAACCGATAAACTATTTGTACTATCACAGGCAGCGGGACAATGTATCGAATATGGAGTTAATATGCACTGTTGTTTTATTGACTCCAAACAAGCTTTTGATAGTGTTAATAGAAGTTATATAAAAAATATCCTCATGATGCAAGGTGTATCTAAAAAACAGCAAATCTTGTCAGTATGACTCTAGAAAGCACAACAGCAAAAGTAGCAGTACAAAACTCTTATTCCGAACAATTCAAACTCAACACTGGCGTGGGACTAGGTGAAGCCTTGTCGGCAATGGTTTTTAACTTAGTTATTAACAACGCGTTACTGAAAATTGAATAAATTAACCATAATGGTACAATTGTAAGCAGAACAACACAACTATGTGGATACGCTGATGATCTAGTCACATACAACATATCGCAATATATCTAAAAAATATTTAAAAAAAAATTAAAACGAAAGTTCAAAAAATAGGTATAAAAATAAACTATGAAAAAACATGTTAACAAATATATGTTATATATATATATATATATATATATATATATATATAAAATCTACTCCAAATGTCCTAAACATTGACAACCATTTAATCGAAGGTGTCAGTAGCTATAAATATCTAGGTATTGTGTTTAGCGAGAACAATATATCAATGTACAAGCTGGGAATAAAGCCTATTATTATTACATGTAATAATATTAATAATATTAAATTAATAACATTTCACAGAAAACAAAACTAAAAATGTACAAAACATTGATTCGCCCAGTAGTAACATATGGCTGCGAGATATGGAGATTAACTGAAACTAAAGCAAACAATATAGCAGTGTTTGAAAGAAAATACTTACCATAGAATAACTTTTGGCTCCGTGAAAGAAAATGGGATGTATCGCATAAGATACAAACACGAGCTAGAATGGCTAGCTAAAGGTGATACAATCAACAAATATATGAAAAATCAAAAAACCAGCGGTTAAGATGGATTGCACATGTGATAAGAATGCCGGTTATGAGAGTACCGCTTAAGAATTATGAGAACGAAGTAGGAAGCATAAGAAGAGGAGAGCGATCATAAAATGATGGAAAGACAGCGTGCAGTGCAACAGGATTTAGAAGAAATGAACATAAGAAATTGGAAAACAAAAGCAAAAAACATCGAAGAATGGAAAGATGTTGTTAAACAGGCTTAGGTCCTACATGAACTGTATAGTCACAGATGATGATAATGATGATTACTTACAAGTCTTTTTTATATTTCACATAAAAGTATTTGTTTATATGTAGTTTTTTATAAATAATAGTCATTCTTCATTAGTGTATTTGCTAGTTTTGGTTAAGTCCTTTATACCACACGATATCGAAGGCTTTAGCAACATTAAACAGACCGCTAGTGTAAACTCTTTTGTAATTATGTCCTTAGAGATTTTTGTACGGGAGCAGGAGTTATAGGACCGAAATTTTGCAAAGCAATCGCATTGGGGAAAACTGCTTCCATTTTTTAGGCAGAGGTCCATGCCTTAGAGCTAAGAGCTATGTGCAAGGGAATGCATACGAAGCGTCACCTGAGGCACCAAAATATGCATCCTGTCAGATAGTCAAGCAGCTCTAAAATCTTTAACAAAATCCTTATTCCAATCAAAGTTGGTCTGGGAATGCTTTCAACTTCTCAACACCCTAGCATCGAGAAACTATGTTACTTTTATGTGGGTACCGGGACACGAAGGACATGAGGGCAATGAAATAGCAGACTCCCTAGCAAAGAAGGGTGCATGTACTCCTTTCATTGGTTCAGAGCCCTTCTGCGGGGTAACAAATAGCTTCACAAATAGCTTATTATGAGAACGGGAGAAACAACATCTACTTGAACACTGGAGAGCCCAAACAGGCATGCGACAGTCAAAAAGATTCATTGATCCTGATCACATCAAAGTTGATGCTATCCTTGGCCTTAGCAGAAACGATATTAAAAACTAAACTGAACTTCTTACAAGACACTGTAGACTTAATTACCACATGAAGATTATAGGTGTGGTAGAAAGTGACTCCTGTCGATTCTGTCATGAGGAGAAGAAAACATCAGAACATGTTCTATGCAACTGCCCAGCGGTGGCAAGACGTAGACTCGATTACCTTGGAAGCGGGATCTTAGTTCCAAATCAAATAGGTAAAATTAAGCCCAAGCAATTACAAGATTTATAAATAAAGGCCCCTAGTTGGGCCTTAAGGCGCACAATAGATCTTTTAGGTCGGGGTACTTTAATAGCCTATTACTTAAATAATATAATATGTCCTTAGAGACTTTGGTTATTACTTTATGCACATGTTGAGTAGTAGGATGTAGGTTTGTGACCGCAATGCTATCAAGCGGTTAGGAATAACATTGGATTGCATCTAGACGATACTTTTCAAATAATAAAATTAATAAAATTTCTTACTACAATAATTAAGTGACTCACCAATTGAGGCAATGGTTCTTGTGAATTTTAGTAAAAAAGAAAACAGTTATACAGTTATAAAATAAGTTGTTAATCCGTCATATTTTAGGACGTAATTTATTCGACTTTTTAAATAAATGACTATAACAATTTTAATTAATAGAGGAATTCACAATCTCGGTGATCAGGTAATATTGTAACAACAAAATGCAACTCGCAATGTATTTTGCCTTTACCACTGTGCACAATTACTATACTGTTACTGAGTCCGTTACCCGAGATCGTGAATATCCTCAATACTCTTTGCCATTATGTGGAAAGGAAATCGTTTATCTCTAAACACAGTTGTAGCAACAATTTATTTACAAAAGCTAATTTATCATCTCTGTATGTTTTTATTAGAAACTTGTTTAACTGTAAAATTACTAGTGGAGAAGTGCAAGCCTTGCGGTTAATATGTTTTAACCATGCTCTAACAATATCAATAATTTCGTTCTTTATTGTTGGTGAAACTATTTAAGATCGCATTTTAAAGAATTGTTTTTCTGAATTTTATTATGCTCTACTTAAAAATACTATAAAAATTCAAAATTTTGTAAATAAATAAAGTAATATATTTTATTGAAATATGTAGGTATGCTTAGCAGTATGTGTACTTAAATTAATTTATTAATATATATATACATTACAAGACTAAATTTTAGATAATTAGAACAATAATTTTTGCGATATATTATTTTATGGAGAGATATTGTTCATTTAATTATTTAACATATATGTTTCTTAAGAAGTTTTTAATTATGTGAAAAGATTGTTAGTTAAGTGCTATCAAATACAAGAACAAAACATAAATCAATTTCTAATTTATGATATTCGTTCTTCTATTCTTGTATTTAATGATTATTAACACTTGTTAGTTACTATTGTTACTAAATGACAAGCACAAGGATAAGTCAGTGTGTAAATATTATGCAAGTAATTTAATTGTATATACTTTAAATCGTCACATATATTTTGAAAGCATTATTTGTTTATAGAATAAAATTGCCACATTAAATAAAATACTTTTAAATAATAAAAAACATATATTAATTCAAAAAAGCTTAAGAAAGAATAATAAAATAATGACTACGTTTCGAAATGTTTATAAATTGCGGTCACATACGTCATCACTTGCGTCCAATCAGGCCGTTCAATTTGACACATGTCATTTATATTCTGTAGAAGTAGAAAAAATAAATATTGATTGAAATGTATTGAGGAGAACAAGTCCTTTATATACGTACCAAAGTTGTTGATATACCAACTGATTCAGCTGCCGCAAAAGCTAATGAAAAGTTTCTACGTTTGTTCGTTTGACTGAGAGTATCATATGGAATGCGATCAGGTAAATAGGAATGTAATATCGCACAAAGTGCTAAACCATCATTCCAGGATGAGCTAAAATTTGTTATGTCAATATTTCTATAACCCACTGTTTTGTTCTGACACCATTTAAGCAATGCATTGCGCTTTGATCCACCATTTTTTGCCAGCATATTTAAAGGATCTTTACGCTCGCCTAAAAAGTTTAAAATATATGATGAATTATAATCGATTAAATTACAACACATTTTAAAAAAATTCTATTATGTTTAATAATTAAATCAGTACATTATTAGTATTAAATAATCACATGAATTGATAGTTTTTGTTTTTAACCTGAATTCATTCCACATTCCGTATACCCGTGACGTATACGGAGATTTATTAAAGGAAAAGATTTTAAAAACTAATTTAAGGTTCATATAAAAACTTTAGATTAAAAAATCCATTATACCTGGTGTGAATTGATTCGAAATAAATCTTTCAGTTTTTTTGAGTTGTAATTATAATTATATAGATATATATATATTTATATTATAATTATATAGATATATATATATATTTATATTATAATTATATAGATATATATATATTTATGTTATAATTATATAGATATATATATATTTATATTATAATTATATAGATATATATATATTTATTCAAAGTAATACTTATGAAAATGATCTATTTAAGTTACCATTGAGTAGTGATTTTGAGACATTATTTAGACCACTGATGTGTAGATTTGTTACTAAACTTTGATTTTGCTGCTCTCTTAGTGGTACTTTAGAGGTCAAAGTCGATACATTACTTACAACAGGTAAACGGACCTTTAAAAATATATAAAATATAATTAGTAATTTTTATATAATATTTATTTACTACATTTTTATTTCAGTACTTACATTTTCTGACCAATCATTAGAAATGTTATTTGTTACTGGTAAAATATTTGGTGTAGTTTCAGGTGTGGTATTATTTATAATAGGTGATGAAGAATTTAAATGTGGATCGGTTTCTTCAGTTTTAGACTATAAACAAAAGAAAAAATAAATTAGCGAAATATAAATATTATCAAAAAATACATTATAGTTATTATAGGCTTTAAAAAATTTATTAAATTATACACAAAAAAAATTAAAAAAGCCTATTAAAATTTTAGAGCACATTAATATCGTATCAACAATTTGAAAGCATCTTTATTTCAAAAAAAGAATGCAAAACCTTTTTTGTTTAATTTGTAATTATGAAGTATTTTTCAGATATATATATTTGAGATACATTTCTATTCCTTTCGTATAGAAAGCAAAAGTATTAGTTTGCCTTACGTGCTGACTATATACTTTATAGTTAATCTAGATAACACTTATACTTGAGGCTGTTCATGACATTTGATTTGGTTATGTTTCTATTTAATAGGATGATACGACAAAACTTTGTTTAATAAACGTCCTTTTTCATTTTTTAAAGCTAGTTTCTTTTTTATACTCAGCGAAGATTCATGTTCTGTCTGTAAATTTTTTTTTTGTATATAATTTTAAAAATTTAGAGTTACCAGTATGGGATTACTGTACAGTTAAAATTTGTTTAGATCAAAAATTTTTCATATTTATATACAATTTTTATGAGCCTATCTACGCAATTATTTTATAAGGAGTTGAGAGTTGATGTAAGACTAAATTAGCTATTAGCCTTATATAATAGTAGTAAATATTTGGATAAATAGATATTAAATACATAAGATAAACGTAAAGACAAATACATATACCGAATGTTTTTATCTTAAGGTCATACGTGTGGAAAATAATTCCTTTAATCAATATTTATATCTTTAATATTTACCGAGATACACGAATTTAAAAAAGTAGTTTAATATAAAAAAAAAAAAAAATGTTAATATCATAAAAACATTTCATGAAAATAGCTTAGAGTTTTTTTCCTTCTAGCAAGCACCCTTAACACCATTATTGTAATCTCTGCAATACTATTATATATATCAGGTAACAACAAAAAAATTTTAAATTTCTTTTAATATTTTTGATTATTCTGCTGAATAGCAGGATAGTTTGTGGCAATTTCCGATCATGCATTTATCACATGATCAATTTTTACCTTTTCTCGAGGGTGTAACATGGGAGGAGAACAAAACTATAGAAATCAGTCTTGAATAATTTTGTGGAGTTTTTGGAAGTCGTCTTTTGTCGGGAGTAGAGATATTGTTTAAAAACCATAAGTTAAATCAGTGCAAGAAAATAATAATCGTTAACTCTTAAACTTTGAAAACTCTTGTTTTATTTACAAATGTGAATTAACGGGTAATATTCTATAAAAAAAAAAGGAAGAACCATGCAAGATGTAGATAGTTGCTTAAATTGTTAACTCTTAATCTTGAGATATGCGTATAACGGTTAAAATTCTAAGTGAAAACAGTGGAAGACGTAAATGTTTTGTTTTTATTGTTACTTTAAATTGTTTTAATTGTAAATTGTTTTAAAATTCTTAATATTCTTATTTCATAATAATAGAATACAAACTAAATAAATAAATATTATTTCATGAATATAATAACTAAACTAGTAAATGCGGTTAAACAGAAATAACACTTAAAGACTTCTAACTTAAGTGAAGTTAAAAAATATACAATCACTGAACTCTTCCCGTTCATCGGAATATAAAGAAGGTAAAGCATATTTGAATGGATGTAACTTTTTTCCGTTTCTTTTAAAACCCCCAAGGCAGTGTCACACACCCAGTATATAAATTTAAATATGTATAATATAAGCAACAAACCTGTTTATTGTTTTCGATGCTCTCGATTAAAGTCTTCACAGATAGACGAGAATCTTGCCTATTTAGAATTCCGACTTTATTACGTCGTGATGCCATTTCCTGTTGTACAGTAGACAAAACGGATTGTTGCGTTTCGTTTTGTTGCAGTTCTGTAGAGTAAAAATTATAATTTATTTTATTAATGCAAAATATGTAAAATAACCAAGAAAAAAAATTTACTAACGTTGTTTTGTTAATTTATCAATTTGCTGTTCAAGCAGTCGTATTTTCTCCTTCTGTGTTTTATTATCGAGCACTAATTGCTCGCGTGCACTTAAAGCTTCAGTCTTAAAATCGTTTGCAACACGTACAGTCATCAGTAGATCCGATTGGAACTGTTGCCATTCCTCAGCCTAAAAGTAAAAAGAAAATATTTTTATATATTTGTTTTTTTGTTTAATTGTTAAAAGATAAAAAAAATACCTCTTGTTTCCGTAAACTAACTTCCTTCTCTAGCAGTTCTTCGCTTTCATTAAGTTTCCTTTCAGCATCACCTAAATGTTTTTGTGTTTCACTTAATAAATTTTGCAATTGGGTTTTGTCCTCCAGATGACATTTGCATTGCACCTAAAAGCAAATTATAAAATATATAGCATTCATTAGAAATAGAAAATAAATGTTAATCTTAATATATTTACCTGTAGTTCAGCTGTGCTCTCCGTTAACTGCTGAAACTCACTGCTCAATTTATCTTTCTCTTGCTGTAGTTGTTCCAAGCGATATTCCAAATGTGAAACAGCGCATTTGGCATTATTCTTAGCAACTTTACACTCCTCATTCAATACAGACAATTGTTCTTTCAAGCGTCGTATCTCTGCTTGACTACGTGAGTATTGATCTTGTATTTCTGCAACACGTTCTTCAAGTGTGTCCTTTTCTTTACGTGCTGCATCTAACAGATCCGAAAGATCGGTTTTTTCACCACGCGCTAAATCTTGTTCGAGTTCATCGATTTTTGAGCGTGCATTATCCAAAAGCGTTGTGAGACGATTTATTTCTATGGTACGCTGTGATATTTCTTCTTTGGCTTGCAATAGTTGCGCTTCCATTTGTTTACGTTCTGCATTGGCGGCATCAACAGTTGAGTCCAATAGTGCAATGCGTTCACGAAAACGATTATTATCTTGATTAGAAGCCTCCACAGAGAGGCGTAGTTCTTGTAGTTCAGAGTTCAATTCTTCTTGTTTTACTAAAATTGTCTCTCGTTCTTCCTGAGACGTTTTTATCAGATCAAGTAATTTCTTTTCACGCTCGGAAGTACTAATTTCTGCTTGCTTTGCATCTCTCAGTAGCAATTCTTGTAATGTTGTAATCTGTGTACGAGATTCGTTAAGTTTCTCAGTCTGGCGACAAAGTGATTGAAAGAGCACATCTTTCTCCTCAGCAAGACGTTCGTTTTCTGTTTGTGCATCACTAAGCTGTGATTGTAAGTCTGCAAGTTCTTGTAGAGTAGCTTGTAACTCTTCATTGGTTGAGTAGTGCGTTTCTTCCATTTGTATAATTTTATCCTGTAGACATGCTACTGATATTTCGCTTGAGGAGGAATGCTTATCCCAATCCGGTGTCAGACATGGGGTACCGCTATCAATTTCAGTTGCCTGTAAAACCGTAATGTACTATAATAATTGAAATTATAAAAATTTATTTAAATCTGATATTTACACTTGGTAATGCAATTGATGCTGGTGCTGAACTATGCAATCTTTGAGAGTCTTGTATGATTTGATGTTTTTCCGCATCTGACAGCGGCGAATTGACAACGTCGCGCAAACGATTGCGCAACGACTCATTTTCGTATTTCAAATTCACAATTTCCATTTGGCTTTTCTCTTGTAAGGCCTAGAAAAATACAGAAAGTAAAGAAAAATAAATTAAAACATAAATGCAGTTAACAGTACAAAAACCAATAATGAAATAATATCGAAAAACAAAATCAATAACTTTACAATCGTTGCATTAATCAATATCGAAATTCCCCATATCTTCTTACAATCCGCTGGCAAGTAGGCGAGTAATGTAATAATCACTGCAAATAATTTATTTTGCATACTGGGTGAGTACAAAAAAATATTACCAAATGTTATTTTATAATTGAGTTCATTTGTAGTAAACTCATAATTATAATACTGTATCCATCAAACTTATAATACTTATCAAACGTTTATAATTTCTAAACTTGCTTACGTTCCAATAATATGAAGGCTTCTTCATATTATTGAAACGTAGGCAAGTATTAGATATTATAAACAATGATAAAATAATTAATAATTTAATATATCTTAAAAAACATAAGTTCATGCTAAAATAGATTAAAACCAATGAAAACTGTAAGAGCATACATTAATTTATATTAATTAATATATATAATATATTAATTTACCAATATAAAGATTGGAAAAGCTCGACAAATGTGCAACGAACCATTCATCGTTTCAGCAAGATTTAGTACACAAAGGCTACACCCAAGTAGCTTAAAATTTTACAAAAACTTACAATCATTACTCTTCTAAATGATATATTAAAACTGTTTAAGAGAAATCGTACACAACTCTATATGATTATCACATAAGAAATATCTTCAAATTGTTAACCAAAAAATTTCAAGATAAAAGTTTGTGACTAAGTAGTATTATGTAAAATATCGAATATTCAGGAGAGATAGTTGTTTGGTTGAAAATAAAAAAAGCTTTACACAGCATAAATAATTTATTATATTATATAGCCTTCAATATGATCCAATACCTTCTACCATCTCTCTGGTAGTAGCTTGATTCCACGTTTATAAAGCTTCTTATATTTTCTGGAAAAAAAAAACCGGCTCCTCTGTTTTAATCTTTAAAAGTAGAGATTTGTCACATAAAAATTTTTGTAAAAGCCAGGAACAAGTTATAATCCGAACTGATATATTTATTCAAATGAATAATTTTTACAACTGTGATAGCAGTATACTTCAAAATTGATTGTGATATATTATTCAAAATCTCGCCAAATAGACATCATATTTTTATGAATATCAGTTTCGAAGTGTTTCGATCCGTTTCACGTATTTTAATTCATTGTAGACAAGCCATCTTTCGATCACAGTTTTTGATTCGACTCTTCAATAAATAAATTGCTTGACGTTCTTAGACGTCAGGCGTTTGAATATGGTTTGTAGAACCATATTACTTTCGATTACGACTCTTCATTTTTGGAAAATGACTTTTTCAGATATCAAAGCATATATAAACAACACTGCGGCTGAAGTGTGAATTTTATGCGAAAATCATACAAAAAACAAAAACACAATATCACAATATTTTATGAACAGCTCAATAAATAAAAATAAAAAATAATTAGTTTAATATATTATTTAATTGTTACAATTTAGCACATTTGTTACGAAGCATGCAAATGTTTTCTTATAGTATGTTTCCACTGGGTTCGTTACACCACTTACTTGAGATTGCTTGAATCCCATGAAAGTTAACTGGTCTAACGAAACCAGTAGAAACGTACTATTACGTCTGCCAAAATTCAATAATGTCTCGCAAACACCAAGTGGTGGTTTAGAATAAGCTTTTTAAATTCCACCCACGTGTTTTTATTGCGAGAGGTTTTTAACGGCGGTGCTCCGCTAAAAACCCCTCGCAACGGGTCATCCATTCATTATTGTCTAATTATCATAAGTCAAAAATGATTTCACTTAATATTATTCCATAAAAAATGTTTGTAGAACTAATTCAATCGAATATGGGACACTGTGTATTTGTTGGTTTAGTAGTCTATATAGAATTTTTGGACTGATTGAGAACAAATGCTTCTCAAAGTACCTAAAGGTATAGGTGGATATTTATCAGTTCATGTCGGTTGCATATAAGAAGTTTTTATTTATTTATAATTTTCACTGATCAATCATCCACAACATTTTTATATAGTTCATACGTTGTGATCAAACTTTTTGTTGTTGACTTCCATACTGTCACCTGCAAATTAATTCGTTGTTTGCTCATTCCATACATTTTATCTATGTTTATATATTTTTAAATTGTTATTAAAAGCTTAAATCAACAAAAAATTATTGAATCACCCGTTTTATTATATTTCTTAAACTAGAGATTTGAGATTGCTTGTATCTAAAGTTTGATTTGATTAATAATATTTATTGTTATTGCTATTGTGTGCAACTGCGGTTTTTCGTTTGAGTTAATATAACAAATAAGTTCATCTTAACTTTAATTAAATATTCGTATTTGTCATTTAAGATAATCTTATTGCTATTTATAGAAGAAACAATCAATAATAAACAAAACGAGATGAGATTTAATACTAAATTAATAGAAAAACAAATGAGACGATTAAGTTAATTGTTTAATAGAATCAAAGCGCATTTGTTACAGAAATCAATTAAATCTACTGGTTATATAGATAATAATAAAGTGGAGAAAATAATATGTTAAGACTTAGATTTTTTCATAGGAATTTAATCTTTAGGCATTACACTTCAGTGAATGTTAAGCAACGATAAATTAACTCTCTACGGTATTCGTTTTGAAAATACCATATATCAATTAAATAAATAAAATGATAGATTAATAAATTTAATTGTAGATTATCAATTTGTTTTTTTTTTTTTAATTTACGCCCACTGTATCTGTGTACAAGAGACGGAATCTTAAAAACATTATTCCATTTAATTAAAATTGCTTTATATAGCTTTTTTGCATAAATAACATAAATAAAACGAACCGTGTTAAGCATATACCTCATATAACATATTCTCTAAACACTATATAGAATAGAAGAATATAGTAATATTTAAAAGCTATACACTTCCTACGACTTGATTAAAGATAAGTAAAATGAACGGAAAGTAAATGGAATAATTACAATTAAGCTCTTTAAAAATGAAGCAGTAGAACTACTAGACGCTGTACTTTGGTTAATATGGGAAGCGGGATTAACCACAAACAAATGAAATTCAAATATAATCGTACTAATCTATTAAATAGGAATATAAAATATTCACCATCATTCTACTTCAGAGATTCAATGAAAATGTGATTTAAGTTACTATTTTCCCGAAAGCTTTTCATAACATTGACAAATAAAAAATCGAGTATACTTTGCGAATAAAGGATATCCGACGCGATAATTCGCAACAATTAGTCATCTAACACTAAGAACTGTATTCTATTCGAAAGTTCTCTTACAAGGTAAAGGAACCACTCATAGATAGTATTCTGCAACGGTATCTTGTTTATCGTATTTAGTCTGTATTCTTCTATCTTAGGGGTTCTTCCGAGAAATGTGGTAGCAAAACGGCGAAAAATCACTAATTGAGGTACATTGAAAGTTATATGATGGCCTGTCACTGCGATCAACTAACCAACCAACCATATTGTTTAGCTAGTCTGCACTTCTTATAATATTGGTTGTAATGCGAGAACGTTACTTTTAATAATGTTAGCTAATATTTATCCAACGGAATAAGAAAGATATATTGGTATATTTGACGATATCATATGTTTCATAATATTGGATCAGATATATAAACGGAATGTGATATAAAACTATGGGCTTATGAATGCACAAACACTTTCGAGCATTTCAAGAAAATATTAAAGATGGTACATGGTTTAAATAACTTAACACGTCACCAATGATGAAAAAATTGTTAAATTAAACAAATTGTGTTTTTCAATAAAACTGTTATTATCAGAGAGGTTGGTGAAGATATTATTCGGATATTATATGAATGGTAGCAAAATTTGCTTTGCAAACTTTGTATAGTCGTTACCGAAACATAGAATTTTTGTAATGCCGCAATCATCCTATTCTTCAGACATAGTACTATACGACTTTTCTCTATTTTCCAAATTTAAAAATCGACATGACTGGACAAATATATTTCAAAATAAGAAAACTATTGTGCCACGGTAAAATAAGATGTATTGTATAAAAAAAATGTATGTATAAAGTAGCAGCGATTAGGTAGTTAATATCAAGTAATCAATATATCAAGTAATAATATAGTAAAAGCAGTCCTTTATTATGACTGCGAAACATGAAAACATTCAAAACAGATAGAAAGAAAGATACAAACATTTTTAAATAAATGCCTGCAGAAAATCCTAGAAATATGGTGGCCTAGCCACATATCAAATGCAGAACTTTTGCTCCAAACAAATCAGAAAGCTGCTGTAACCGAAATAAAAATGACAACCAAATAAGCAAATAAATACATTGCACGACAAGTTTTGACATGGAATCCACAAGGTAGCAAACGCCCCGGTGTTTCAGCTTTAACTTGGAGAGGAACAGTAGAAAGAGAAATGACAGAAGCGGACTACATATGGAACGATATATGCAGAGAAACACTTAACAGAGTGCGGTTTAAGAGAATCGTTGCGACCCTATGCCCCACTAGGGGATACGGATACTAAGAAGAGAAGAAGAATCAATTGGAGATATTTTATTGGGAAAACACTAATTAAACCAATTTACTTAAATCGGAAGTCTTTATTGAAGCAAGTAGTGAAGGTTGCTAACCTTAATCAAGGTGGAAGGCTCTAGTAAAGCACTACTAATTAGCAACCTCAGTCAATGTGGAAGTCACTATTGGGCCACTATTAATCAACCAGTTTAGCGTGTGAGTTTGTATCGAAACAACACAAAATAGACAGTATAGTCCAAATGGTAGCCTCTATTGAAGCACCTCTAATTAGCAGCGTATTTAGAGCGGAAGTCTTTTTGCGGCACCATCATTAACCGGTATAGAATTCACTTCTGGAACTTCACTAGCTTCTGTAATTTCCGAGCCAATCAGGTTATTTTTTATATACAGAAATAAGATTTAAAATAAAACTGAAACTAAACTCCAAACCATTTTTTTTTTTGGCAAAATCCAAAAAGAACAAACACTCCCACACGACTCCCAATGCAATCTAGGCTTCAAACCAGAAGTTTTAGAAAAAAAAAAAACAAAAAAAAAAATATCCGTTCGGTTCCAATTTTCGCTCCGACGAAAAATATCGATTTTTTCGGTTCCAGTTCGAAGCTTTAAATAAAATAAAGGATCTTTTTTATTTTTTTTTTTGACTTTCGACATGTAATACTCCTATATCATGTAACCATTATTTTGAATTCATCTTATATAAAAATAATATGAATTGATTTTGAATGAGATAATATAAAAATGTGTGGGATAGTTGTTTCAAAAAAAAAAAAAATATATATATATATATATAATCAATTAATATATGTTACCTGCATTTTGAGCAATTCCGATTTCAATTTTCCCACTTCGCTTTGGTACGGCATTAGTTCCGAAACACGTGCTTCCAAACTAAGTTTCTCACGTCCCAATTGCTCTAATTGTGTCTGCAATTCTTGCATTTTGCTGTTAGCCTTGATGAGAATTAACAGAAACAAAAAATGTTATTAGCCAATATATTTTAAAGTAAACAATTAGTTATATTATGCTTTTTATTACCTCTATTAACTGAAGGTGCTGTTGCTCGTTATTGATTAATTGATATTCGTAATTAGCAGCGGCAATTACTGAGTTTAACTGGTACAAATCATTGCTGCGGTCATTTGGTATAGGAGCTACTGCTGCTGCTGCTGCCTGTGCAGTAGTTGTTGCAGCAACATTTCCTGAATAGTTATTATTGAGAGCAGCTGCCGTTGGTGCTGTTAGTGTGGGAACCGCGGAATTTTGATTTCCGGGTGATAAAGCGATTGTCGTCATTACATCAGCATTGCTGACTTGCTGCACAGCTATTGATGTTGGTGCTATAAATGCAGTTGCTGGCTGATATGCACCACCAACAAATGTTGCTACTTCAGTTGCTGTTGCTGTTGTTGTCGTTGGTATTGTTTGTGATGGCAGTACTGGTACTTGTTTTGGCTGTTTTTGACCTTTTTTAGCGGCCAATTTGGTTTTCTTGTGTGGCAAGGTATTAGAGTGTGAACTCTGTATTGAATCCGGTGTACCGCTCCGTGTTATTGCTGCGTTATTCAGTTCAGCATCACCTATATCAATGCCACGCTCAGAGGCTGGATCAACTTTTTGATAAAATTTCGTTGTTACTGTGGGTGTTTGTGATTGTTGTCGTTGTTGCTGTTGTTGCAGTTGGTGTTGTTGTTGTTGCTGCTGCTGCTGCTGCTGACGCTGTTCGTTATCAGTTATCGTATTTAGTGATGTTGTCGATTGTGATTTGTTACGATTATTGCTGCTATTATTATTGGAATGTTTGGATGAACCAGATGGTCCTTGTCCTCTACGGAACAATGACTTTAATTTTATCATATTTGGTGCAAGTGCAAGTTAAGTGCAAATTCGTTAAAATAAATTATTAAGTAATTTTTAGATCGTTTTTGGCATCAAATTGAAACAGTTTTTATATTTTGTGCTTGGTATTGAATTTTTAGTCATTTATTGTTAAAAAAGTTTTAAATTTGAATTTTATTTAGTTTTTAAATTTTATTTTTACTTTCACAATTTTTATTTTTTGGTCGTTTTTTCGATATTTCGTAGTCGCTTAATAGTTAATATTTAAAGATTTCGTTAAACATTTTCGACTAAATAAATGGGAAATAAGAGAATGAATCTTAGTAGAATAAATTGTTTTAATAGATAATCAAGTTCGCGAGATAAAAATTTGTGTTCACTGTTGTTGCTCCCTCCCTAATCAAACTAAAAATTTAGAATAAATAATGAAGTCTTTATCTATAGTTTGTAAAAATTTTTTTATGAAGAAAATTAAAACTTAATTAGAATTGTTTGATATGCAAGAATGTGTTTTGTAAATGTTAGAAGATAAAAAAAATATATATATTCATGTTGTTAATGAGACACTTGACAGTTTTGGTCTAATAAGTGTTTCTCCAAGCTTGATAGCAATTTTACCAATATTTTTATAATAATAAAAGAAAGTAGTTTGTTAAGATAATACAGCTATATAGAGTTATTACAGTATATTATATAGAGTATATCAAGATTTCACAACTTCTTCTAAATAAAAAATTATGTTTAAAAAGTTGAAAATTACTCGATAATTTTTGGAAATTTGTTAAACACAGTTCAGTTTATTCTATAATAATAAAATACATCATGGAAGACCTAAAACCTAAAAATTATTTACTAAAGGAATAAATTCAGGCAATAATATGTATTTCTCATTACTAAGTGATTATAGTAAGGATCCCCTCACGCAAAAAGTTACAATTGTAAATGAAAGATTATCTTACAAATTTTTAATTGCCAATAATTTACTTTTAATGGATAGTTTACACCAGAGTTTCTTAACCCCTGCGCTGTGGAACGAGCGACACCATAACTAGTATTACCGGTAAAATATTGTATTTACATCTTTAACAATGTTTTATCGGAAAAGTGTTGCTACCGGTTCTTGTAAAAGACTTTAAATATTTCACTGATCCAAAATATATTTTGAGTTGAAAAATACAGCTTTATAATATTTGCATTATTTACTTATGTGAATTACATATATACAAACAAAGAAATATTTATATTAAAACAACTGCATACATTTTTTTGAATATTAATAAGGGGAGAACCCATCTTTTCGTACAGTAAAGAATTATCCCAAAAAACGAATCTTTCCGATGTTTTAGCTTATCAACAGCTGTTTATAAATTAAACCAAAGAAATTCATATATTATGTTCTAAATTTACATAAAAATAGTAATTTTAATAAGAGAATAAGTAATTTATTATATTAAATATGGAAAATAAATAGCAGGCTTAGCCAGCAGATTAAATATTTAACTTAGATTCTGCTTTATAATTTACTGAACAGCAGTAAGAACTAATAAGAACTGCAGTATTCCATATTTTTCAGATATATCCAAAGATAGTACTAGAATGCAAAATATATAAATAATATATAAAGCACTGTCTATATTAGGTTGACCCTCTATAAATTTGACAAAAAAACAAAGGGGTGAAAAATGATTAAAGATACTTCGTCTTTAAAAGTCAGTCTTACAAAAATGGTTGTCGAACGCTCTAAAGCCCAGAAAGATTTTTAACAAACACTGATTATGAGTGATGAGGCATATATCATGTTAAATGGAAACGTAAATAAACAAAATTTACGATGTTACGCCATAAAACCCTTTCACTTTACAAAGTTACAGTGTGGTGCGAACTTTGTGGAGATATGATCACCGGTGCGTACTTTTTAAAGCAACAATCGTCAATCAGTAATTGTGAAAATGGTCTGCCGCACCACTATTTTCAAGAAGATGATGCATTCACCTGATCCAGCTCGGCCCACAATCGATTTTTTTAGGTGATTATGATTGTTCCTCATTCGCTTTATATCAAAATATTAGTGATTTAGACTGGCCTCCGTGTTCGCCCGATTTGACACAGCAAGACTTTCCTCTGGAGTTACATTAAGTCAAATAATTTTTATCAACAAACATAGGTCGCTATAAGAACTTAAGGCCAACATGCGCTAGGAAATAGCCGTTTATCGACCGAAACATTGAAATATGATTCAATATGTCAAAAAAAACTGGGCATCTAACGTGATGCAAGCTAAGGATGATTCAAAAACTGATGTAATAAAATCTACTAACACCAAGTTAAATGATTTTAAACTCGAACAGCAAAAAGTTGAGTTTTTCTTTATGAAATAAATGGGTTAACCTAGTATAGCCAACCCTGTATATGTATTTTTGAATATGCTTTTCATACACACATATAAGCAAAGTAGATTTAGTATATTTAATATATCTTACACTATCCAAAAACCGAAAGTCAAAACACTAGTAATTAGCATAAAATATATTTCGTTATTTTTGAATAAAAAATAGCAATTGCTATCAATTTTCTGTTATTTAGCAAGATTCTGTTAATTGCCGGTTGATTACATTCTATTGCTGTTTGCAAGTCTTCCAATTTTGCTATATATTTTTCTGTTCGTTGCTATTTTCTGTTTCAATTCAATTAAATAATCTAATCTTATATTTTTTAATGTATATAACATACGTTTTTAGTGTAAGTTCTTTTAATGTTAGAACTAGAATATTTGCGAAAGTTCATTCATCCGATGAATCTTTGAATTTTGGGTATACAATCCATTGATTGATTGAGATATCTATTCGGTATTGAAGAACTATCATTAAATCATGCAGTTCTTGTTATTTACATAATTCTTCGTTGACATGATTAGTTTCGTGCAGATTATTTTGAAATAACGAAATCTTAACGGAATGGAAATGATAGTGATATAAAATCAGCAACTGACATAAATGTGCTTCAGATATTTTAAGGCTTTTCTAATAAAATAATTCTAGAAAGATTGAATTTAATATGTTTATAATAAAAAAAACTAGATGGAGCATTTCAGCTTTTCAACTGTTATGACTATCGAAATTTCCTAACTATTTTATGATTTGTATATGATCAACAGATTCGATCTATTAACTATATTACGAGTACTAGTATATTTTATTGCTAAATTAAAATTTAATGAATATAATGGACCCTTATGAAATAAATTGGGAGATTTTTCGCTATTTCGTACAAAACTATTTCCAAGCAAGTTGTGTGGGAGATTAATTAAATAAAAAGAGTTAAATTTAATATGTAAGTAACCAATATTTATTAGTTATTCGAATATATTTAATTAGGTTATTTACATATAGCAAAAAAATGCAAATAAAATGGAATTACAAATACTGCTGCAGTTAATCCAAATGCTGAAAAATAATCATAAAGAAAGCATCGGTATATACCATTCTATTAAAAAGCTTTGCGGAAAAAGCTTCCAGAACATGATAGAACTAAAACAGTTCTATCGTTAATCGAAATTGAGGACGAAATTAGAATAAATCGTCGACTTTTGGAAATCGAAGAACTCAAACTTCAATAAATATATAAATAATTTCAATATCGTTACATTAATAAATAAAAAAAATTACTTTATTTATTGTATTTAAGAAAAAAACAAATTGTGTAAATATTTAAAAAATAAAATAAATAAGTTTATTACTTAAAGTATTCATTATAAACTGCAATTAAAAAATTCAAATTTTTTCATTTAAGGAAACAGTTGTCCCCATCCAAACAATTCAGAATAGAGGAATTCAATTTTAGAGATAAATACATTTTGAGAGAAATTCACTTCCTAGAATATTTTAAAATATGGGTGACTATATATTGAATAATATTACACAATATAAATCATATTTTCAGTAAAAATTCAATAGTGAAACAAAACTTTTTTTCCAGAAATATTACTGAGAACTCTAGTTATTGTTTATCAGCAATACGATTGTTGATAGTACGATCATATAATTTTGTTTGCACCACTTGTACGAACATAGAGTGGGATATTTCAGTATAAGATCATATCTTAAACTTCCGAAATGTTATGGAATAAACACACACAGTATAGTACAAAGATAAAGTGGAAATAGTCTATCTATATAATAAGATTAATATTAAATGAAAAGATTGGATTTGTTTCGCTTCTTATCATAAAAAGGGTGTCAGAAACGAGAGAAATAATCACCATTTATAAAACGAAGCGACTTGGGAAGAATTATAACTAAATTATAACGGAACAAACATATATTTTATGACATTTGAACGATTACTCATTTAGTTATATCTGATTTAGTGACGCTATTTTTTATATTTTCTTGAATGTGTCTTGATTCATCATTATTTTCTGAGGCGAAAAAATACTGTACCAGCAAAAATTTGGCTTGTTATGTGCTACCACAACTCTGCTCCATTGAAAAAAAATTATAGAGAAGTGGTTCTCTGACTTCAAACGCGGACGTGTAAACACTGATCATGCCGAACACAGTTGTTGTCCGAAAGAGGTGGTGCTACCGGATAACATCAAAAAAGTCCAAAATCGTTTTGGTAAACCGAAAAGTGAAGTTGCAGGAAAACTTAAATTTTTTAGTTAAAAATTTAAAGATTTCAAAGGAAGGTGTGCCGGCATTTGAATGAACATTTGTATTTAAGATTACTCGTTTCGAAGTGGGTGCAATGTTTACTGACAGTTTACCTAAACAACGTGTCGATAATTCTGAAAACTGTTTGGAACTGTTGAAGTGAAATAAGAAAGACATTTTGCGTCGGTATTTAACAATGAATGAAACTGGGATCCACCACTTCACTCCAGAGTCAAATCGGAAGTCAACTAAGTGGACGGCAGTCGGCGAACGTAACCCAAAGCGGTCAAAAACGCAATAGATAGATTTGTGTGGAATTCTGTTCATCAACTTTCTTAAAAACGGCTCAGGTCAACAATACCAATCACTTAATTCTTCAAATGGTGTGTTTGAAGGAGAAAATCGCGAAACGAAGTCAGATCAAAAAATAAGTGGTTTTAGTAAAATTTGTCGCACATAAATAAATACCTGTAAAACTTAAAAAAAAAGTAAGCTACT